TCAAAGGTAGCATACCTTACCCTCGTGCGTTCACAGGCAAAGATATTGTGGTATGTGCGATTGTTCGTACTATGTCTCAAAAGATATCGTTAACGCTACGTTATCGCAGTCGACGATCCAATTGCAAATTCAACGAGAGCTTGCGATCAACCACGGAGTTTCGACCAGTGACCGACGGGTTGCTCTCCAAGTTGCTCGAAGTCTGCAAAGCCAGTTGTTCTTTTACGAAGTGGAATGGGGTGGTCGAGTCCTGCAAGACGGTGTTGAAGATGTATACATGTTCCTGGATGATCAAGAAAACGGCTCTGATGCGATTCCGGAGCGAGAAGAGTTGCCCACCGGTGTTATCACAATGCTCACGAGGTGTTATTCTCCCAGTTGCGGAGATGGCATTCCATGTTACGCATATGCGTGCCCTCGAAAGGTGTGACATCTTACTCCAGACCCACTCAAATTTCAGCTGAACGCTTCTTTCTGGCCAGGGGAATCATACCATCGGTCTCCCTGCTCACCAACTAGAAAGTCCGACTGTGCCGAAGGAACAAGAATGGGCTGAGACCATAGACGCTGGCGTTCTGAGTTCTTTGCCACAGAGCGAGATCACTCGACAAGGGTAAATCTGTCTTCATCCGCTCTGGCTGCCTCGTGCCATACTAACTCGCTTCAATCGCTCAGTATTATCCACAAACTGATTACCAAAGAGGAGTCCTACTTGCAGGATCTTGACCTGGTTGAATCGGTATTCATCAAACCACTGCGAGCCGCAAATCCACCTGTCATGTCCCTACACCTCTTGGACGACTTTATTGACGACGTATTCGGCAATATTCTAGATCTTCGTGAGTGCAATCGCCGTTTGCTGGAGGTGATGTATGTTCGTCAGAGGGAGGAAGGGCCGGTTATTCTGCGAATCGGCGACATCTTCTTGGATGCAGCTACCGAATTCAGGTTTGCGTACCCGACGTACATTGGCCACTATCCCATTGCGGAGGTAAGGCTGAAGGATGAAACCGACACAAACCCTGAACTTCGGTTGTTCCTTGAAGTACGTGGAATGCGTCTTTATCTGAAATCCATGGTCGATTGACCTCTCGACAGCAATGTTCCCGACAACAGTCCTCACGGGCGACAGAATCTCCTCGGCTTGACCTCAAACACTTCCTCAATCGACCTGCAGAGCATTTGCAAAAGTACCCTGTTCTCCTTGAGGCTGTCTACCATGAGACAGAAGCTGAGAACCCCGATGCCGAGTTTTTGGTGGAAGCCATTGAAGCAATCAAGAATTTGCACTCAATGGCGCAGCTGCGCACTTGGCAATCCGCGATGGGCAAGGGCACTGCTTCCAAATACGAGTGGCATGATATTGTCCCCACGGAGATCAGGGAGCAATTTGACAAGAAGGAAATGAAACGTCAATCGTGAGCACAGGACAATGATAAATATAAGACTGTGTTCTGACAAACGACTGTAGTATCATCTTCGAGTTGATCAAGGGAGAAATGGCATACGTGAAGGATCTGGAAAATATCATGAATGTAGGATTTTTCGACTCGAGTTCTCTTGACCACCCTGCTCAATTTTTACAGATTTACATTGTCCCTCTCCGGAGTGCGGATCCCCCTATCATTGCCCCTGACAGACTTGATCAGTTTTGTGAGGATGTTTTCCATAACTACGATGAATTGTTTTCCCATCACAAGAAACTCGTCGACAAGCTCCATGAAATCCAACGAGAGCAACATCCACATGTTCGCAGCATCACGGCTGCGATGTTCGACGCTGCTCTCAATTTCAGGGAAGCTTACATGGAGTACATACCGAATTACCCAATTGCCGCTTACCGAATCGACGACGAGATGGCAAACAACTTGGCCTTCAAAACTTTCGTTGAGGTACGTCTAGTTTCAGCAAGTTCATGCCCTTGATTGAAACCCCGCCCCTCTCTTAGCATTGTATTCGGCACGCGGATGCTCACCGTCTGGACATGAAGAACTTCATCAATCGGCCCATTCCTCGTCTACTTCGTTATGAGTTGCTATTGAGAGGTATCATGGAAGAAACACCTCTTGGGCATGAAGATATAGAGACGATACCCAACGTTATCGATGTCATCAAGGCACTTGGAAAAGAGACAGAGCCTGGGGTGTTTTCGGCAAAACAGAAGGTCGAGGTTTGGCGGTACAATGCTAACCTCGTTTTCAAGCAAGGGGAGGCCATTGTATGTCACTGTTGCCATAAGGTTGGAATATGTTTGTGGCTAAATTGCGTTCGTAGGACATGGATCTGCTTGATCAGAATCGATCGTTGGTACATTCAGGAAAGCTGCTTCGTCAGCCTGATAGTGGACTTGAATGGAATGGATGGAGTGAACTTCACGTCCTTCTCTTCGACAATTACTGTTTGTGACTTCTACTTGACGAGTGTCGAAAGATTCTGACGATACTACAGTGGTCATGACCAAACCCAAAGACAAGGATGGGGTTATCAAGTATCAAGTCAATCGTCGAGTAAGTGCCAAGCGAAATATGCAAAGGAAATCTTCTAAGTTCTAGTGCAGCCCATCCCATTAGATCTCCTTACTCCTGTGAACTTTACCGATCCTCCAACCCAGAGAAGTGCAGGTCTTCTTCGCAAATTGGGTGGTGGAACACACGGCGAAGGTGGGAATGCTACCCCTGGCTTGTCACCCGAAAGCGCTACAGATTCTCGATCCGTCTATCCTCTCACATTGCATCACAATGGACGGATGGGTGGTCCCTACATCCTGTACGCTGAGTCTGCGCAAATCAGGAACGAGTGGAAGCAGAAACTTGAAGAGGCACTTGGACTGCGCAAGATCGTGCAGGAATCCAACAAGGTGTTCGAGATAGAGTATTTGTCCAGGGATACTTTCATCATGCCGTCGATGGCTGTTGCTGGAGGTGCTAGTCCGGCATGGAATCAGGACAACCAGTACACCGGGAAAGTGACATGTTCTGTACCATTCAGTGAGTTTTGGAAGGATGCAATGGGTGGGTTGGTGCTGATTGGCTTTTGTGCTAGATACCCCTGATGGTCGTGCATTGGTCGCGATTGGGTGTACGGAAGGTGTCTGGATTGGATTTCGCCACGATCCGAAATGTAAGTTCAAGGTGGACGTACAGGTGCCGTTGCTGATCATCCGCGCACCCCAGCTATCCGCCGAGTTTTGCACTTGAAGATGGTCACCCAATGTGCTATGCTCGAGGATTTCGGTATCTTCCTTGTGCTGGCGGACAAGGCACTGTTCGCATACCATATCGAAGCGCTCGTTCCGTCATCGCCACATGGAGCGCATACATCTCAAGTCCCGCAAAAGCTCAGTGGCACGAAGGATGTTCATTTCTTCAGTGTGGGCACACTTCAAAACCGTACTCTCATTGTGTATATGAAGAAAAAAGGGGTATGTTGCGATGATTCCGTCTTTCGCTAGAACCATGTTCACATGTTCTCGCTGTGCAGCTTGACAGTATTTTCCGGGTTCTCGAACCTGTGGGCGACAAGATCAATGAAAGAGTCAAAGCACCTATTGGCTTTGGCTCTCGTCTTGGCTTTCGCTCTGCTAAGTCAGAGTGGTTCCGGGTGTACAGAGACTTCTTCTTGCCCTCGGATTCCTTCGATGTCATTTTCTTGAAGGCTAGGATTGCAATCTTCTGTGCTAAAGGCTTTGAAATCATGAACCTTCACGAGTACGTCTGTTCTCGATTACAGCGAACAAGATATATCCTGATATTGTTACCAAAGCTTTGACAGTATCACGATACCACAGCGAGAAGACCCTCGCCATGCTCAACTTGCAAAACGATGTGAATCGTGTCGACCTCTTGGGATGTTCCGATCAACAGACGAGGAGTTCCTTCTGTGTTATGATGGTAGGATTCTTTGCTGATCTCTTTATTCCATGCTCATAAACTTTCGATTCAGAATTCGGTCTTTATGTCGACAAACACGGCGACCCCTGCCGCTCAGCAGGTACCATCGAATGGGAAGGCACCGCCGAACGAGTCGCATTCCACTCGCCGTACATCCTCCTCTTCGACTCGCGCTTCATCGAGATCCGACATATCCAAACTGGTCGTCTTGCACAGATCATATCAGGAACGGATGTGAGGTGTCTCTGGGATGGCCGTGGCGTAAGCACCAGTGTCACCACTCCCGCAACCGAAAACGGGGAGGAGAACCAGGAGGCGCAGGTGCATGTGGTTATGAACAGCACGGAGGGCAGCTCTGTTACTCCTGGTGGCCTGAGAACGAGGAATATAGTGCAACATGTTTGTGAGCTCATTCCGACGGTGTCGTTGTTTCCACCTGCCGGAGGGCCGCCATCAGCAGCGACGACGAATGCGAGTGCGACAGGCGGGGCACATACAGCTGCTCAGGCTTACGCAAATGCATATCAAGCACCAGCGGCTAGCACATATGCGACACCAGCTAACGCCTACGGTGCGCCACCTGCTGGTGCATATGCGCCATCTGTCTTCTCCTCCTATTCTCCGTCTCCTCATAACTCATACACATCCTCTGTCAATAACGCTTACACTCCCACAAACAACTCGTATGCTCCATCTGGCCATGCCTATACTCCTTCAATCAATACTCCCTATCCACCACCGACAAATCACACGAATCACAATCCTAACCTCAGTGTGGATGGCAGTGGGGGTAGTATGGCAAGTGGAAGCACGGGTGGTGGTTACTTTGGTCGAGGCGGGAGTTACACTCCGGTGGCGACACCGTCAAGGTCGCCTGAGTCGCACCCTGCACAATGGAGGACATGATACATACAGCCAGAATCTTGCTTGAACATTGACGTTTTCTATATATGCTGGAGTTTTGTTTTCCGGGAGCAGTAGACTATGATACGATCTACGTGCAATTGGGTGTGTAATCCTAGGACTAGATGTAATGTCAGATGATATTTGGAAAGTAAGATTGGCGGGTCAAGTAAAGAAAAGATTAACGGAAGATGTGGCAAAAGCTAGCTGCCCCAGTGAGGCTCGAACTCACGACCTTCCGATGACCGAATGTCAGACTCAACCCAGCAGGAATTGCAGGCTCTTACTCTGAACAAGCTAACAGTCGGACGCTGTAACCAACTCAGCCATGGGGCACATATTGAAGCCCGCGAATTGCTGCGCCTGAGACTGCTAGCGCCCTTGCCGTCTTGGGACCCCTGCCCCTGCACCATCACGATCATCGCTTCCACATCTTAGCGCTCATGATTCCACCTACAATGTTGGCGACCATGAAGCGACCCCGTACGCCCTCTGAGTCTCACTCATCAGACCCCTCGACATCCTTCACGCCTTCGTCTGTGCATCCACCACACAAAGCTTCTCGCACAACTACCTCTCCAAGTTCAACGAGTACGGGGGTATCATCTTCAGCAACGGCAACAGGGTCAACCACAGCACATCCATTGATATGTACTCTACCTCCAACTTGTCACCGTCAATCGACTCCGATCGCGAACACGAATGATCTAGAAAGGCATTACGCTACCTACCATGCACATGTGTGTGAGTTGAAGGGTTGTGGGTGCGTTTTCCCGGACGGAAGGCTGCTAGAATTGGTGAGTACGCCTGAGTACTTCTTAGTTACAAGATCGGCGGATAAACCACGCTTCTCATTGCAAGATGAAGAGCGCAGGGTAAAGGAATACGATGGATGTTGCTTTCTATTGAAGACAGAAGTCCAATATTGAGTATACGGCTGCTAACCTTATCTTCGTCTTCCGTCCCCACCTCTAGCATCAAATAGAATGCCACGACCCAATAGCAGCACTTCGCAAGGACCGAGGCGACAAAATTGTATGTCCAATATCCTCACTACTCCATCTCGAGTCGCGGTGTATTCACATCCCCTTACTAGTTTGAATGTCATCTACCTGCACCTACCTGCGGCCGACACTTCCTCACCCCCAAAGCGCGCCGACTCCACTTAATTCAAGCACACGCTTTCCCCAAAGAATACTTTTTTGCGGTCACGAATAAGGGCGTTGGAGGGCTACTGAAGAAATGGGGTGAAGGAGCCAGCCTGATCAGGAAGGAGTGGAAGCCAAGGGAGGACGAGGAGACCGAACCCGGAGATAAGGTTAGTGGAATGGCTCAAGAGCCGGCAAAGGATAGTCGAGGCAAAGTGGATATGGACAGTCACAGAGGAGAAGCGGAGGACGTGACCATGGATGGAGGGGACGATGATGACTCTCAAGATGATTCTGAAGAGGACGAGGATGAGGACGAAGAACCAGCCGACCTCGAAGCGACCCCGCGCATGCTTCCCCGTACTACTGGCTTACACTCTCCTCAATCCTCCTCATCCTCCTCCAAAACGGAATTGCGGAACGCCTCCCAGAAAGCTACCAGAACTGGCGGCGACGTCGCCAACCTCGCTCAGTCACTCGATTCCCTCTCGCTCGTACCCAACTCTATTCGGTTTGGACGAGGAGGGAAGAGCGGGGGTTCTTGCCCAACGCTCATATCCGTGGCGGTCGCGGTCGGGGCCAAGGTAAATATCCCGCACGCGGCAGGGGCGGAGGTGCGGGATCTGACAAGACGATGGATGTAGATGTTATACCTATGGATGGTGCCAATGGTACAGGTGGTGCCAGGAACTTGGGCGCATTGGGCCGGGGGAGGGCGGGCATTACTGTTATGCCGGTTGGATCGGTTAACGTCCAAGGCCCTGTAGATGGTGTTCTGAGGGGTAGGGGCAGGGGGCGTGGCGCTCCAAGGGGACGTGGAAGGGGCAGGGGCGCCATAGCGCCTCAGAACGGTCAAGCTCCAGTCTGATGCGCAAATTAGTTGTGCGGCATCGGGTCACGCATAGCATCCATCTTGAACCGGGTCGACAGGTGCATGCAGATTTACAAGGATTCACAAGCAATGTATAGTAATGCTGGTATGATAATCAGATGGTAATGCTTGAAAAGTCTGGGATGCTATTAACAGCATTGGTCACTGTATCATTGACATTGTTCCAGTATCTTTGACAGTTACAATAAGCGCCAGAACACGCCGATTGTGTCAGCGGCGGTATTTTTGATAGGAGTAAATTTGAAAAGATGTTACGAGGATAACGGGACTTCGAATCCACGACACCAGGGCAGGAACTTGGGTAGTCATCAGACACCCTGCATCCCTCTTTACCCACCTTGACCCAATGGCTGTGATATATGAGCTTGACAGGAGTAAGTCGTTCCGTAAGTAGCCACAAGATTACATGGACATACCCATCTACTTGTTAAACCTGGATGGGTTAGCCCTAATGCTATTTGATCATGGGGAAGTGGTATTGTTTTCACCGCGGCTTTGTCGGCCAGGCTTTGATACCCATGCTTTGCGCAATGGTTGAGTACTTCAATTGGGTACTGCTCATAGACTTGGCTAGACGAGCTGAGCTTTATCCTCATATCAAGAAAAAAAAATAGGAAAGACATACTACATGCGAGTAATACAGATATTCATAGCACCGAACACGATGTATTTCTCTGCGGCTTCTGCGACAGCGAACAGTGTTTTGTGGTCCATATCCACCACCAAAGGTTGTCTATATCCGTTGGCTTCCGAACATGGTTGAATGAATTGGAAAAGGAGCTCCAGTGTGGATGATGGTTCTGAGAGATGGACTGGATCACTTGTATCAGCGGATATAAGTTCTGGGACAGCGAATCCAGCAGTTGTGGATTCGAAATGCTTTCTGTTGATATAAAAGAGAACATTGTTGGATGACTTGAAGACTAAATCAGAGCTCAGATCGTTGACTGCATGTAGCAGCAATCACAGAAACCCGTTATCAGCAACCCTTCATCACTGAGACCTCATGAAATAAGGCTTACACAGCTCTGATGTCCTTGTAGCATCGGACAATTGGTCTTGGAGGTCCGTAGATGAGTTCTCCATGGTGGTTGATAACAAAGATCACATATCTCGATGCAATTGAGTAGATGACTATATACAACAGCAACCGCCTCGTGTTTAGAACAACATGGGCGCCGAACGGAGTCTTTGCGGCACGTGAACAGAAGATTGTAATCTGAGCAACCTGAGCACAATTGAGCGCTCATCAAGGTCATCAAACGATGCTCCGCTCTCACAAGTCTTTTGAGTTTTTCTTGACTGTTTCAAAGGCGCCAGTGACTACTCACTCACGCAATCCTCTCAAAGACCCCAGCAGCGATGAAGTATGCTTCAAGTCAGCCGATGGCCAGATGTTCTATGTCAAACGCACGGCCCTCAAAGCCACCACAGGAGGATTTCCCTCTGCAGAGTTTGCTTCCAGTCGAAGCGAGGTCACTTCGCTGACCGAGACGGCGCAAACTCTCGAGCTACTCTTCCAATTTGTCACCCCACAGCGACACCCCGATCTTGAAGATCTGGATTTCGAAACTTTGGCACCACTGGCAGAAGCTGTGGAGAAGTACCAAGTCTTTCCAGCAATGGGGATCTGTAATGTTCGAATGAGGTACGTAGTGTGATCTTCGTATGGACTCGGATGGTGGTTATACCTCATCTGAACATCCGACTGACGAGCCATCCTGAAGGCACTTCATCGCGGAACACGCCGCGGGCGTGATTTCCTACGCTGCGGCGCATGACTATCCCAAACTCATGAAGGAGGCTGCACCATACTTCGTTTTACTCCCTCTTGCGAAAGTCGTCGATCAATTGCCTAAGAGCTTCTTGGTATCATGGGTACATATTTATTCAATAGCACGAGAAAACGACTAACTTACAAACCAAGGTCGAATACCGCGAAGCTTGGATGGGCGTGCTTGATGATGCCATTCAAGATGTCGTACAGACGAAGCAAATGTGCTCAACCTGCCAGTCGCAAGTGCTGAATTACATTCTAGAACTCAAAAAACAGCGGTCACCCCACGCACTTGAGAAAATGCTGGCCGAGCCTGGAGTGACCGTCCCAAAGCAATGCAATAATGTAAACATACCAGCGAGCGGCAATGTAGCCTTCGGAATGTCTTCGCCTTCTTCCTTTGGCCCCAGTTGCAAGGCTCTTATCACAATAACCAAGATATGCTCAGATATATCCGCTGGTAGAAAGAAGATAAATCTCAGCTTCGAGCTCTAGCTGCATCCCTATGCACATCATGATACTATGTGATACATTTGGCAGAATATCAATCGAGGGCTGTCAAAAATGGCTCGAATGATAAGAATGTGTACTTGGTCCACTACTCGTTTTTCGCATCGTACTACATATGTAATTATCCCGCATAATTCTGCCAAAGTCGGCGTATTTCACGGTTATCCAGGATTCATTGCGCCATGTCCTTCAGTGGACGTATTTGAGAATTTGATTCGAGTCAATGCGATCATCATGATGAGCCCAAACGAAACCGACCAAAAAAAGAACTGCGGGGGAAGACGATACGGCCATGCGAGGTCATTGATAACGCCCAAAGCCCGCAGAACAAGGAGGTTTTCCGCTGAGAAAACTTGTCCTGGGTGAGGAATAGCCCCAGCTTCGTTTCTGGTCCTCGAAACTGACTATGAAAGAACTGCAAGGGACAGACGATACGGCCATGCGAGGACATTGATAACGGCCAAAAGCCCGCAGAACAAGGAAGTTTTCCGCTGAGTATATATGGGAAAGAAACCAGCAACCAGCTAGTAAGTCCAAAGGCGGGGGACTTGAGGGAAGCAGCGAACACGTAGCGAAGAACAAAACGGTGCTTCCAGTGTGGCATTAGAGGATGCAAAGGAACAAAAGACGTGCAACGCCTGCTCCTGCGCCTGTATTTCCGCCGACGGTCAGACGAGATGATACCTCCAGAGCGGAGCCAGTCCCTGTGGCATGTCCATGCGCATGGGCGAGACGAGTGGGCCGCGATGCAGGAGGATAAGGGACGATTGAGGGCGGAGAATGTTCCGTCCTGGGGCGTGGCATCGGAGGTAGAAGATAAGTAGTCGCCGTCACCGACTGTAACGAGTACACCACTTGCTTGCGGTTCGCCTCGCTAATTCGGGGAGAAGATCCCCATATATGGGTACTTGCTAACTATTCGACAAGCACAATTTCCAGTCGAGCGTGGAAGGCGAGTATGATCGAAGCCAACTTGAAGGACAAAACGGTGCTTCGAGTGTGGAATTAG